CCCTGCGTCTCTTGGGAGTCCCACATCCAACCCTTGCCCCCCTTCTACTGTGACCCTAACGCCCCGAGGCATTGTGGGGGTCTGGGAATGTGTCTCCTTCAGCAGGACCAGCTGGAGCGAGAGGAGCAACATGCTGCAGGAGCAGGAGAGAAGCATGCCCTCAGAGTTTGAAAACGCCCCTCAAAGAAACTGATGACAAGTAATTCTTTGTAATAGCCATGAAATAAAAGGGGGTGGGGCATTTGCTAACAGTGGCATTTTTACTTGTAACATAATTTTAAAAACCTGAGCCTCCCCTTAAAGTAGCTCAAGTCTATTACCAACTCGTGTTTCATATTAAACTGGTGAAGTGAAGTCCACAGTAAAATCATGAGATTCTGCCAGTTCCATCATAAGTCACTCAGGTCCTTTATCTTATTGTGTTACCACAATAGAGGCTTATTTAGAATGGCAAGAAGCATCTGTTGCTAACAGGATACCCACCGGTTCACACCAAATTAAGTCAGTAAAACTTGAATTAAGGGCGAGGCAACAATACTATTTACTTAATAATATATATATATGTTTTTTTTTTTTATTGAAGTGGCTACAGAATTGTACGGAGCCCTTAAAGGTTCATGAAAAAAAAAAAGTATCTCGTGTGCACAATATACTTTCTCGTGCGCACAAGATACTTTCTTATGGTTAGACACATCGAACTGCCCGATTATTACGCCATATTATTAGTTATATAGCAATGTTAAAGGACACCTATCATGCTATATTTGAACAATATATTGTAGGGCCATACCTATATAAAGTATATAAATATAGTTTTTTTTTTCAAAATACCAAACAGATCCTGCATTTTAGCCATGCCTCATTTCTCTCCATTTGCTCTTTCCAGCACTGTTTTTGCAGGGGGCTGATTCTGTGAGCTGCAGCTGACCACGCCCCCCTGCAGGAGAGGGGAGCCGTGCTCTGACCAGCTGCTGGGCTGTCAGAAGAGGAGGGAGATCTCCGTCCTCCGTGTTTTATTATATTATTATATAGAGTCGTTATTCATTTGTTTTAAAGCTCAATAAATAACAAAGAAGACCTTTGACCGGCACTTTTCTAATTTTGTCCGGAAGATTTCAACTTTAATGGACATATTGACCGGCGAAAAAAAACCTAACTGAAACTCTGCCGCACGGTCCCCTCGTTCCTTGGAAGAGGCGGAGAGGTGGGTGTTTGTCATCTGCGGGATCTGGGGAGGGATTGCATTGAATTACAGCAGCAGGAGCAAACGCTTGCCTCGGGGAGGGAGAAAAAAAGCCACAGCGGAGAATAAACAGAAGGGTAACCATGGTAACCATGCGCGGGAAGTCTTCTTCGCTGCTTTTGTGGCAGACTACAGCGCCACGTACTGGCCTGGCATATGTACTACAGCGTCTCCAGCGCTTTCGAGCGGCAATGGCCGGCCGTGGCCCAACCCCACATTCCCCTGATAGGTGGAGAGTTGGCCCAATAGCTGTAGCGCCACCGTCCTGACGTCAGTAACGTGTTCAAATCTGGATCAGTTTTTATCAGATCCGTTGCAGCCCCGTTTTTAGAGATTTGGGTATGGAGGAAAATAGAGAGGGTTGTGTTTTCTGACACTTGGCGAGTTCCCTGGAACACCGGGGACACATATTCATGTATAAAAGACGTACAAAAGTGCATTTTGCATGATAGGTCCCCTTTAATTTTGTTCACAATATGTTTAGTTCATTTACCTTTTTTTTGTTCAACAGAACCGATAAGAGTACTGTTAAAGGACCGGATCGATAAGCGGTATCGATAAAAGTAGTAGTACCGTATATTTTTAGACGATATTTGATACTCTGAACTTTTCATTTATTTTCAGTTTGCTTCAAGCAGTGGCTGTACGAGAAAGACATGAGGACCAAGAAATGCTGGCCAGATTGGCAAAGACCGGAAGATACATAACAGAGAAGATAATGGATATTAACAAGAAAAAAAAACATTTTTTTAATCATTTCTTTCTTGCTGTTTAAATTTTGAATTATATTTGTTATTTTTATTTTTAAATCAAATGCATCTATTTTAGACTATATATTTATTTAGATGTAGGGTTTTTATGTAATATTATTGTATTGTTAATGTATAATTTATTAAATAAAAATACAGTTATGAACACTAAACAATGTCTTTATTTTGATAGTTACCAGAATACATTGTATATGTAATACTAAACATAAGCTGGTGATAGATAGATACATCCCTGCTGTTCTATGCTGGTCACCAGCATAGAACAGCATACAAGTGACCAAAAACACAACATATGCTGGTTTGCTGGTCAACTATGCTGGTCTATGCTGGTCAACACCATGCTGGTCTATTGGCGCGTTCACCACCGGAGGTACTTTTCCCCACAATAGTTCATCAGAACTCAGATATATTTGCGTTCACACCAAAAAGCCCCCTGAACTAAATTAGTTCATCAGAACCATTTTTACCCCCTTTTCAGTCCATGCTAGAGAGCAGGGACTTTCGTGGGAGAAAAAGGTTCCTATGTCTGATTGGCTGGGCGGAATGCAAACCACGCCCCGTAAAGCTCCCAAAAAGTTTTGTGAAGCCGTCATTTTATTATCCTCGCATTAGCATTATTAGCATTAGCATTAGCCCAGCGCACAAACGCAGAGAGACTAACTTATGGCAACACAAAAGAAAACATGGGAGCGGTGGAGATGAGGAGGTGTCGGCGTTCTGGCGATTTACTCGGAAGGCTTCAGTAGAAGCTGCTGGGAGTCGTCCCCCCCCCCCCCCCAAAAACGTTTTTTCCTCAAATAGACCTGTGGAATTAAGGTGATGTTCATTAACTGCAACTGGAATATATAAACATTTCCTGCTATTTTCGAGGGGTTTGTACATTGCAAATAAAAAGGAGCTCAGAAAATTCAAATATTTAGTATGAGAATATCAGTTTGGTAAATATCAGTATTTTGATTCATGAGAGGAAAAGGCTTAGAACCCAACATTGACGGTACTTCTTCCCCACTTTATAATTATTTATAACCTTGATCTTACACTTTACTGACCTTGTAACAATGAATAACCCCCAAACCTAACAACCCCCCACTTTGCCTCCAAGTTCTGCTCTGCTTCTCAAAACCCTCAGACTTTCACCTCCTGTGTGTGTATCACAGCCACAATGGAGTACCTCACATCTGTTCGACAAAACCCAACAATGGTGGACAAGCGAAAGACAGAAAGAGGGAGAGAAGGAGAAAACGGACTCCCCAATTATCTCACTCCTTCTGCAACAACCACTCCTGAGTTTTCTACAACCCCCTCACTGGACAAACACAAACACACAGGAGTTATCTTTCTATCTCTCCCATGTCGAAGCCAAATCCGAAAGGCCCTTGGGACTTTTCCCCATTGACGAAACGTAACACTTGTACAAAACAGAGGGAGAGGAAGGGGTGAGAGAGGACGAGAACTGGGGGAGGGTGGACAACCAAAGTGAACTCTCTGCTCATCAGGCCTTGAAATATTCCATTCTTTCCACGAAACCAAGGTCTCTCTCCAATTCTTGGTGTCAGGAGTGTGCAGCTGCTGTGTGTGTATATGTATGTATGCATGTATGTATGTATGTGTGTGTGTTAGTAGTGATAGTGGGTAAGGGCTAAAGAATGCAGCTAACTCCTTCGTGCAATTGTCATTTGCAGCTGCTCCACTCCATCATATTGTGAATTTCAACCCAACACAGCAAAGCACATAAACACTTTCAGTTTCTGACAGAAGTTCCATGATACTCTAAACTTTCCGAATGAGCTGAGCAAGTGTTTAAAGTATAGAGCAAATCAACCGATAAAGAGTTGTAGGTCAGACACCTAATTACTTTGTTTAAGGCCTCTTATGCTCAGATGCTTAAAATCCAAAAAATCCTCAATAATATTTGTTTGGAATCCCAAGTTCTAATAGCATTTTGTATTCTGATACTGCTCATATTTACCTTTACTGTGTGACCCTGCTGGCAATTAATGTGTAATTAATCATAGAATCCATTTCCAATCGGAGGTTTGACCTACTCTTCATTGTACATTTTACAGTAAATGTTGTAATAGAAAAATATTATACTCACTTAATAATATCATTGTGTGATTCTTATTTTCTAATGTTTATCTATATTTGCTACTTCTCACACTTCTTATCTAAGCTTGGGAAAATTCCTTATTAAGAAGATTTGTTGCAGTGTTGTTAGTTACACTCTATGTGCACCAACAGTATGACCTTCCACTCAGGTGAACTGACAACATCCTGATATGGCCTCCCTAACTTCCAGAATGCTCCTTTGTTATCACCAAGCTTCACCCCTCCCTTTCTCCTCTCTCTGTGTTTAAATATGCAACCCAAACTCGATTCTTCGTCTTTCACTCTGCAGACTGTCTGCTCTCTTGCAAGAAATAAAATATGACAAAGACAGCTGAATGGTTTGATTCTCTATCCACATTTGATGAATAAATTCCCACCACAATGTTGAGTAGGTAAGTACTCTTAACTTTACCAAGATTAATAGTATCAACAATGGCTCAATGGTGTGATCCAAATGTAACCATAAAAAGGGTCCTCCAATCAAAACAGCACTGGTTGTGTTATGGCTTTGTTTATAAAAGTGGGGACAGTTGGCACAGCAGAAAAACAGGCCAAAGTATTTGTTCCTTGCTATAACGCAATATTTACAATTATATGTGTTGATATGTTTATTTAAGTAAAACAAATCAGCAGGCAAACTTCATTCAAGATAGTGATCATTTACAAAACATCTATATGTGTACTTGTCAGTCTCTGTGGCCTGTATCCTGTATGACCATGATTATGTAGCAAACAAATGAACAAGAAGCAGATTGTTTAAGTTTTTGAATAAACACCTCTGAACGTGCCACAATGCCTCTAAACCCTGAATGAGATACCCAAATGTGACACTCATGCACAGTTAACCCTCTCTCTCTAGCTCCCACAACAAGTCTTACCTGTGTCCTGTCTGAACTGGTGCATTGACTGGAGATCTATGATGTACGGCGAGAGCCGGTTGTCCACCTGGCCGAGGACCACGCTTCCTCCGCGGGGGTCGCTGCTCCGGATGGCCGCCTCTATCTGGTGGGAGACGGCGGGGCCGTAGGGCCGCCACCGTCCGTGTTCGTTCAGCCATTCCCACACCACCACGACAGAGGCCAGGAGCATGTTGTTACTGTTGGCCCTGGAGAGGAAATGAAAGATGAAGCACCAAGTAAACACTTATTTGTTAGCTTCATGCATCGCTAACCACAGCGGAGGGATTTGTTTGCCAAAATAAAGGCTGCCTGCTCAGAGCAGAGGCCAAACACACATCAAACAAGACGGAATTTAGACACACTGTCCTTTTAATTGCGATATACATTTGAATAATACCCTTTATTTTCTGTCTGTGTCTTTCTCCCCCGTTATAAATGAATACAGGCAGTCTGTACCCCCGAAGCTAAAACAAAGCCAGTTCCTTACATGGAGCCGCGGCTGAGCTAACGCCGGGAGATGCAGAAACATTCTTCTACGTAGATCCGAGCTCCTCGCATGGTCAAGCGACGAAGGAAACCCTGGTCCTCGCCCGACTGTCTTAATTATATGGTGTTGTGTCAGTCGCAATAACTGACAACAAAGCGGCCTAAATAGTGTGTTGTATTCTTGCTAGTCCTTGCTCAAGACACAACGATAGCTTCTCCGTCGAGTCGTGTATTTCCAGCGACGGCCTCAGCGGAAGAACCCGCCTCGGTGTGGGGAAACGCGTTTCGAAAAATATCGCTTGTTATTCCTTTTTTAGCTGGAGCTATAGGTGTCTATAAATCCCGTCAGAACCAGACTCGACAGGGTGAGGATAGCAACAGCTAGTGTGTGTTTGTCTCCTGTAGTTTGGGGCGTAGCATTCCGAAATGTTGAGAAAGTAGTGGCTTCCCAATCCCAACAGCGCAACCTCAGTAATAAGCAACCCGGGTCATATCGGAACAGGTTAGACTGGTGTCGAACACAACACTAGAGGGATGAACTAAAAACACATGTATCTAAAAAAAAAAACCTGTCCATTGTGCATTTGTCCAGAGTCTAGTTATTATTAAGAATTTCAAACAACTGACCATAAATAAACAAGTTTGTCATTTGTAAGGTTTTACGACATCATTAATACAGTGTTGTTAGTCAGGTTGTGGTGGTGGACACTGTATTTTAACATTTGGTTAGGTAATATGCACCAGTATAGAATATGTCATGTCGTTTACACTTTTACATCATTTAAAAACAAATCTTAATTAATCATTCACCTGTTGATGTGAACTTCTTGGTCCACTATCATGGTCCTGGACACTTGAAACAAAATCCAGGTTCTTCACAGACCTATTCATGAATTAAATCTGCTCTTTCGTCCTCCTGGCTCCACCATGGCACTTTCTTTCCCCCAGCCGGTCGAACAAAACCAAATCCCCTTTCTTTCTATTAGAACAATTCAAAGTCCAAATAGAGATGGACTAAACTCCCTCCAAATGTGCTAAGGTTAGGGAAATGTAACCTCCACGATGCATTGAAATTAACTCTGCCATGTTTATCCCTTTGCTATCCTTTAGCGTCCATCTTCATCTTCCTGTGGGGAAACTTGTGGCTGCAGAGTGGGGGGACAGCAGCGGGCCCCGGCCTCTCACCACGCCCTGTAGCCCCAACCGTAAGGGTGGCCCACAACCAATAGAAACATGGTCTCCCAAAACATTTCATGATCCAGGCAACACTGTCGGCCTATATGTAATACATGCTTTGGTTTTACCTAATTCACATAGGTTTTGACGTTTGTCAATTTATTTATGAATTGTTACCAGTAATTTATACAATAGTGAAAGCGCAATGGATTAAAGTCATGTTCTGATTATGGTTTTTATACAAAGACAAACAAACAAACAAACAAACAACTTCCTATGGTCCCCTTGAAATGACAGGCAGTAATTTCAGACGGAGATCGCTGAAGACGTATGTATTTTTTAAATGTGTTGATGTGCTGCCACCTGGTGGACGAATTTGGAACCACACACTTTTCAAGTCGATACATGTACAGTGAAAATCATGATTTGAATGAATCGTAGGCAGTTTATTAGGACGGGATTACATTGTGGGTCGAAAATTAATTCCTATAATTTACAGATGTGCAATATTTTTTTAAACATTTTATATAACAAAATAAATCCATATAGCTGGAAAAGTAAATATTTAGTTGAAAGTGACGTCGAATGCATACGGCGATGGCTCCATAGCTCAGGGGTTAGAGCACTGGTCTTGTAAACCAGGGGTCGCGAGTTCAAATCTCGCTGGGGCCTAGTAACCTTTTACATTTTCTTTGATAAACATGATACAGACAATTTACATACAAGCATTTTACAAACATCAAATCTGTAAACATCTAATTACAGTAAGCAAGCAGTAACAAATAATACATAGAAATAATACAACATCAATAACTACATGAAATATGAAATAATGTTCATCATCATTATAGCCACTTGTTCACAAATCAGAAAAACACAGACATTATATATAACGGAATCACATTGGACGAAAGCCAATCACGCCGCAGGATAACATTGGACAAAAGCCAATCGCGGCGCGGGATAACATTGGACAAAAAAAAACATTCACGGCCTAGGGTAACATTGCAAAGAGCCACTCACGGCACGGTTTTTTTCGACCACGGCCCACTTATGGAGGACGCTGACGAATGACATTAGATAAACCGTGTAAACCGTAGCCAGATTCAGCAGCTAACCCAGATCAAAAATACGAAAAACAATGTAAAATTGTTTCTGATAAGTCAAATACTAATGTTGTTTGAAAGACATCCAGAGCCCGGATAGCTCAGTCGGTAGAGCATCAGACTTTTAATCTGAGGGTCCAGGGTTCAAGTCCCTGTTCGGGCGGACAGCCTTTTGTAATTGCTTTAATTAGTTAATTATGCTTTTAATTGTTTGTATTTTATACTACTTCAATATTTAACATTTTGAAATGTTGAAACTCGTTTTACAAAAGTGAAAAACAAACTAAAATGCATTCAATCGTGAAACTTTCCCCACTCACTTGGATCAGACTATTAAACATTTAAAAGCAGAGGTGAGATAAAACTTTTACTGCATTATCTGGTGTTTACGATGTTGTCTATGAATTCTGTTGGCAGTGGTTGACTAGTTGGTGTTCTCCCTGTTAAAGTTTGCTTTCCAGTGGGTGATGCAAACAGCCAGCACCATAACCAGCAGAACAAAACCCACAACCAAACAGTACCAGTGTTGAAAGATAGACCAAGAGGATCCTTGAGATGAAACTGAAGAAATGCAGAGAGAGAAATAAAACAAGCTGTGGTTAAGATCATTTTTACTGGATTTTTACTGTTAACGTTACATAATGAAATCACACTTCATACTTTCCCTGAAATGTTCTGTTCCTCCACATCAAATATGATAAATATTAAGGCATTTACTTGCCCTATAAAGTACTTCATTTACACACACAGAACCCTAATGGTGCTAATGGGTAAAAAACACTGGTAACCATGTGTTTTTTTGTACAAACAAAGCAACTTTATATATCCCCTGGTTGTAAATGCTGCATGTTTATTTACTGTGTTAGACTTAAGTTGTCTGGCAGGAAAAGATTGAAGGGTCAGCTCTGACACAACATATCTCCCATTTGCATTATTATTATTAATTTATGTTTTTTATTTATTAAGGTGACATGCCTTTGAGTGAGACGCATGCAGAGAAATCTACAGGCTTGAGATACAGCCATTATACTTCAATAAGCAAGTGTGCAACAAGGCCTAGTAAACACAACACAAAATATTCACCTTGAAGCGTGGTTCCTCTCCCGACCGTTAAAGCTGTCTCCACATTAGCAATACAGTAGTACAGCCCCAGGTCTCCCTCCTCAATATTAGTGATCTTCAGTGCCAGAGATCGGTTCATTATTTCCAATGAGAAGCGAAGGTTAAGCTGAAACCCTGAGCAAAAGTTGTAGTCGGTTGAGCACATATCAAACAATACGACATATTGTACATTTCCCCTCTGTGGGACGAATAACGGTATTCTGATTCTGATGTTCTGTATTCCCAGTTTAAGTTTTTTTTACCCCAGTTTTATTAACACATTTGACACTTAAAGAGTTGTTTACAGTATGTCTTCTGCCTCAGTTCAGTTTAGTTTAGACTTCAGTTGTTTTTATGATTCAATTTTGGTTCAAATCAGCAATTGAGACTGTCTATTACCTTGGACTGGTTGTGCCTCTGTGAGGCTGGCGCTGAGGATCACAGTTGGGGTGGAATCAGGGTTGTTCCTAAACCAGGTTGTATCATGACGGTAGAATATCTTGCAGTTAAGAGTCACTGTTGAACCGTACTGGACATATTGGACCTCAGCAGCAGGCACAAAGGGCATCCAAATACCAGACATCATGATAAACCCTAGAGTGAATCAAATGGATTATTAACTCAGTTTAAACTTAAAGCAAACGTTTAGAGATGTTTTTAAATAACAGTGTTAATTGACATGCAATCATTTGAGTTTAAACATATTTTTTTTTAAAGTATAGTAGTATAGTAGTAAAGTAGTGCTGATGCTAGTGAAATATCTCCTTTTTACTTTAAATTAATTGTACCCTTTTGTTTACAGCCTACTAATCCAATTTTCTTAATTTTGACAGACTTCTTTCATTGACAATTGTGGGAACTTCTTTCTCCATAGCCAATCTCTGTTCTGGTGACCAATGCTAGTTCCACTGCTTTTCTCTATTCTCCTTTGCGCACTTGTAGGCCACAACATGCAATTCCACTGTTATGCACAAAAAGGAACTGGTAACTGAAACTGTACATTTAAAAAACATGCGTAGCAGAATACACTATATTGGGTAACTCGATAGGATTGCTTTCACCCACACAAATATATTCTGCATCCAAATTAAATTCCAGAATGAAAAATGTTGTGTGTGACTTCTTTTAGCGCACATCCAGACTTATAAACTAGTTTACTTGAGAGGCCATCCACACCGACTGATGTCGGAAGTGGGAATGCATTTTTTTTTTTACAGTTGCCAGTACCCCACCTGACACAGGATAAATTATTTCTGCCCAGCTAACCGGGTAAGAAGTTACCATTACATCATTGGCCGGTGGTTAGCTGGGTTTGTCCAGCACAGAAGAGTGTTTAATGTGCACTAATAACCACACAAATGAGCAATCCTCTTAGTCACAGCGGTGCATGGACCGAAAAAATATTAAGTAATCATCTGAAAACGACAATAATAGGTCCCCAAAGCAAAGACTGTAATATGCTACTGTCCATAAATTACATTGCTGTATTCAGACTGAGGTCATAATTTCTTGGTTCTATTATCAACACATCTGATTACCATGATTGATTAAAGATTTCAGTATGGTGCTTGAAGTTTTAGAAATCAACACCTGACTATCCCAAGTTAGTATTTTTAAATATTTTCTTAAAATTCACTTGTACGTACTGTATATGGAGGCTTTTTGCACTTTATCTTTCTTTACCCATGTTCTACCTCCTTATTATAGTTGATTTGATTCTCATTTTCCCTCAACAAAACAATTACTTTCATTCCCTTCTCATCACTTGAGACAACAATCAGAAACATCCCCTGCTGCCGCCACATCTGCGTGTTTGTGCCATTGTAATCATTGGTCGTTGTTTCATGTCATTCGGAGTCTACCTTGATCTAAAAGTATAACCTTATTCCTTACTTATAAAACAAGGTGACTTTCTGCTATCCAAAATTATATTTATATGGTGTTTTTGTTACTCACCAACAACGATCATTGTTATCCAGTTAGACTTCTTCTTCTTGTGTCTCTATTTTTTTTCTTCTGTTCGTGACATTAACAGACCACGGACTTCCTTTTTACTTGCGCGTCACTGTTTCCACGGAAGGTGTATTTCATATTTGATC